GCCTGGCTGCAGCCGCGCCTTAAGGATGTATCTGTGTCCGGGTGAGCAGCCCGCGGATGGGATTTGGGGGGGGGGACACGACACGAGTTGGGGTTGAGGGTTTGGGGGGGTTGTTTTTTTTTTGGAGGAGGAGGGGTTTTTTTTTTTTGCTTGCTGGGGCCGCTCCGCGTGTGCGGAGGGCTGCGGGAGAGCGCAGGGAGCCGCGGCTGGCAGGGGCTGGGTTTCTCTGCCTGGATTTACGCAGTGGAAGGGGGGAATTTATTAGATAATTTCTCAAAATCCCGTGCTCTCCAATGTGCAGCTCTTTCTCTGGCAGCAGCTGCAAAGGACCGATTTTTTGCAGTTTACCAGTAAAAGCTGACAATACACCCACGCGCGTATGTGAGTCTTATATAATACTTACGGGTTGCTTGGTTGGTTTTTTTTGTTGGTGTTTTTTTTTTTTTTTTTTAACAGGCGTAAGCAGGATTTATTTTTGATTTGTAAAGTCTTGTGTGGTTGCATCGTGCAGAATTAGATAAACATTCTCTTTGCTTAACAGAGATTTACTTGGAATCCTCTTTGAAACAGCTTCGTTTTTATAATACTTTTGATTTCACCCTGACTACATGTTTTGAGTGCAGTGCGCAGGCCGTCTGTGCTGGAGCAAGCAGTAAGCAGTTAAGGGAGGGGAAGAGAGAAAAGAAATGTCCTAATGCGGAGACTGATAGTAGGTTGTTTAGAGGGCGAGACTGCAGTTCCAAGCAGCAACAGCAGCAGCTTTATGACTGTGTGTAATTACAGAGTGATTGCATAGGACAGCATTGTTGAACCGAATACGTATACACAGGCTATTGTGCAAGATTTCTGTACCGAACAAAACCTTTTTTTTTTTTTGCATTGCAAATACTGAAAAGGGAATGTGTTCTGCGTTGAACTGCCACGTTCCTCTTGGACTTCACCGAAGAATTAGTAGGGGAGGGGAAAGGAGAAGTGGAGCGGGGCTGATCGTAGAAGTCAGACCTGAAATACTCAGCAGAAACGCCACCAGTAGTCTCTGAAATCACAGAAGAAATGGAAAGCTCGTTGAATCTGTGGGTTCATGTTTCTGAAGTGATTATGCAGCAGGTCTGCTAACAGTCCTGCAGGTTTAGTATAATTCTTGCTCTGGTCTAATTTCTTATGTGGGAAAAACGCCTGTGTAAGAATAAGCAAGTGCAGTTCAGCTAGCTTGCTTGGAAGTGGAGAGCAGAGCACTGGGGAGAGTTTCTGTGTCAGGCCACAAAAAATGAGAGGTTGAAAGGAGTTCTAGACCAGGCATAAGTTTTGAGCATGCTGTTGAAACTGTAGTTGAGTAGCACCTTGCTCAGTGATCTTGCAGGCAGCGCTGGCTGAGGGATAGGACGAGGCACTGAGAGTGTCCCACTTGAGTCTGTGTTAGCGAGTCTTTTAACTAAGACTTTGAAGGACCATCAAAATTATGCTGAAGTTCTTGCGGATGCAACTTAAGGTACCTAAGATTTGTTTTTCAGAGATGCTGCTTATGTGTAATTTTTATCTGTTTAGTTCTGGAAGTACATGAAATTAATGAAATACCAGATCCAAAAGATTTTAGATCTGGTACTCAGAAATTGGCCTTTCTGAGATTAAAGACAGTTTTCTGGAAATGTTACCTTTAACCATCATTGCTGATGTCTTAATGCTGTGAAGGCTTGTAAAGTGTTTTGGGCACGGTGATAGAAAGTACTGTAAAAATGGCAAGCTGCTTCAGAATTTCTTGGTGTTCAACTAGAAAATATTATTTTAGTTGAACATACTGATAATCTCATTACTGGGTAGTTTCCTCGGGTTGTCAACCAAATGCTTAATTTAAAATGTATGTAGCTTTGTTTATGAAGAATGTAGTGATGTGCTGAAGATATTTGGTTTGTTGTTGTTTTTTTTTTTTTAGCAGGTGGCTAATTAACCACAACTTTAGGCCTATCATTTGACAAACATAATATTTTCACGGTGATCCTTCTGTAAGTTTATTGGAGCATTTTATTTTAAGACAAAATAAGAAAAGATACATTAATCTGTGCATTGCTATGATGATTTATTTGTAGATTTTTCTTTTAATTGTTCTTTTCGTCTTGACTAACTTGTGAATCTCTGTTACGCTGGGTGTTTTAATGTCAAAATTGCTTCTGGGGAAAAACAGAAACAGTGCTGAAAGATTCTTTGAATAATTTGTGGTAGTGATACAATACAGTCATTCCTTATGCTAAGTCTTTGGCTTTTCACAGCCTAGATGGTGGGAGAAAATTGTTTTAGGCCAGGATTCTTCAGGCTTGTATACAAAGGAGTAGGTAACTTTCATGTCCACGAGTAGTCCTGTGGTGCTTAGTGGAATTAGTCATAGATACACATTTGCGTGCGTAGTAGCAAAAGGGCCCTGCTGGCCTGTAAACCCATCCAGGTGCATGAGAGTAGCAGTGGTAGGAAATGATGAGTGCTGCAGCACAGTACAAGCCTTTTGAGAGCCGACATAATCATTCCAGATGTTAACTTATGCCTTTGCATTTTAACCCGTGTTACCAGCTGTAAGTGGTAGCTGCAGAACTGCAGGAGATCTTTTCAAGCCTGGCATCCCTCTCATAATGCTCTTCTGTCGAGCGGCCAGGCGGTCCCTTAAGTTGCCCCTGACAAGGACCTGCAGCCTTTCTTTGGCGATGGCCACCCTGGCGATGGCAGGTAGCAGCGGTGTGTGTGGGCATGTGAGGGGACAAGAGCGACTGCCAGGAATCTGAATGGGAGTCTGTCTAGCCCGTGGTCCTCTTTCCGAAGGTGGATATGTTTTCTATACGCTTAGCAGTTCTTGAGTTTCTACTCAAGAAACTCACGTAGTTTTCCCTCGAGCTCAGGTAAACATTTAGCAGCCACTTTTTGAAAATCTGTCATGGAATGAGGATGTTGGAGTATTACAGGTGTATAAGTTGGACTTGTATTAGGGGTAAGAGCTGATTTGGTTTTGTTCTTTCACCTTTTCTTAACAAATCCCAGTTGCGTTCCTTATTTTTCTGAGGCATTGCATAACATCTTAGTGTTGGTTGCAGTGAATTGTAGTTTATGCTAAAATGAGATGTAGTGAATATGCATATTGTCTCCAGTGCAGTTATCAGTGCACTACTGCAGTGCAGTTCTAAGTGACATAAAGCGAGAAATAAAACACTTTTCTCTGAGTGCTCATCATAAAAGGGAGGGCGAGGGAGGCGGGAGCTCTGGTGGTGAGGTTTTGCAACACATGTCCAAAAAGCTAGCAAATTCTGGCACAGGCAAGCAAAGGCTTATGAGTCAGCTCCAACTGGAAGAATTGTCACTGAGCAATTTGTAAATAGGAGGATGTACTGCTAAGTCAAGGAAATATCATCATTAGGACCTCCCCTAATAATTGGAAGTGTGGCACAGAGCTCTCTGTCAGACGGGAGTTGTTTGTGCTTTGCATCACATGTTGCCTTTAGTGTGATTTTGGCATTCAAACCAAGAAATCCTTGTGTGATATGTAGGTCCCTGAAGGAGGTGGTTGCTCAAGTAATAATTTAAATTTTTGTAGCTGCATACCACCAGCGTGCATTCCTCATGGAAGCTCCTTGGCAGCTCCAGCAGCCCCCAGTGCACAAATGGCATGTGTTTCCAGCGTGAGGCTCCTCAAGAAGCACATCACAACGTTTTGTGTAACTTCAGTTCCTGAATGATCTCCAACCGTAGCCCTTATCAGGTGCTCTGCTGATCAGTTCTAGCGACTGAAAAGCACACAGAACGTTACAAGAAAAAGTTACAGGCTTCACACTGGGGAAAAATGTGAATGGGTGCATTTTGAATGCCGCCGGCATTCAGGTATTCGGGAGCAAACGATTGAATGGGGATGCAGAGAGAAATCTTGGTAACTAATTCTTTGCTTTTCTGGTTGTGTTGATGCTTTTTATCAAATTTGGTGCAACTGGCAACCACCTGACAAGCCACCTGAATTAATGTATTTGTTATATATAGTATGGAGGACATACAGATATTCTTTGAAATGTACAGCTCTCGAAAATGAATGTTCTTTTTGTGTCTGAGTAAATTACATTAATGCTTCTTGTTGCATTGACAGCAGGTGACAAGAAGTCAAACTCTGGGAAAAGCTAGATTTGGAGGTGATGACAAAGTCTTCAGTGGGGTTTTTTTTTGTTTTTTTTTTTTTTCTTAAAGGCATCTTGAGAGGCCTACAGCAGAACATGGAACATTGTTTTTAGTCTTCAGTTTTTGAAACTGAATTTTAAAGTTCTGTGTAGTTTGGCTTAAGTATTGGTAAAGACTGAGACAAGTTAAATGCTGTTAATGACTGAAGTAGTAAACTGAGAAACAATTCTAATATCTTTTTTCCTAAAATTGTTACTGATTCATTACATGTTCAGCATTGGAATATACAGAGATAGGAAGTGGAATGAAGTCAGTATTCGTTATTTCTTCTTTACTGTAGATTATATTCTCACATGAAAATTGGTTCTCAGTTGCTAGACTGTTTCCATCATAGCTTACTAATAGGAGAGGTTATAGTGCAATAATATATATTGGTATATCCTCTTGTCTTTTATTTTGGGAAGATTAATTAAATGTGTATGTATATTTATGTATATTCACGCTATTCTGTTATACATCCTTAAGTTTCTCATTCTATAACTCAGTTTCCCTGAGAACAAATGTTTCTTTTTTTTGAGATGCTAGAATACTGTTTGTGAAGGGGTTTTATTTAAAAAAAAATTTCTTGAAATTTTTTTGTTTGACTGATTGTACTATTATTTCAA